GTGATCTAGTCTGTTGGTGATGCTTTCTATTGAATTTTTTAATTTGGTTTATTGTTTCCTTCATTTTAAGGATTTCTGATTTTTTTTTTCAGAATCTCTATCTCTTTCTTAAGTAATCTTTTGCTACCTGTATTTGCTCCCTTATCTCTTTGTTGGTGTGATCAATGGTTGCCTGTATTTGCTCACTTATCTTTCTATTGGAATGATAAATTTTTGCCTGTATTTGTTCATGTAGGTAATTCTTCAATTCAAAGATCATTTTAATTATGTATATTCTGAAATCCTTCTCTGATATTTTATGGATTTTATTATTGTAGTATTCTGGTTTATTTGTGGCACTTTCTTCCCTTGTTTTTTTTTATATTGTCTGTGAATCTTCGTTTCTTGCAGTGTGAATCTGAGGTATTACAGTTTCTACCCTAAAATCTTGTAATATTTGTGCAGATTATCTGTACCTTACCTTGGTGTTGAGCTTCTAGACTCTGCTAGTGTCCTGTAATGAATGCTACTGCAACTAAAGGTGGTGGTGACAAAAGATAGCAGTGGAGGTGTCCCAAGATGGATGCAATGTCTTTCAGAACTGGGGCTGAAAGGGTGGGACTTACACTGGCTTTGATATTCCTGTTCTGAGATGCAGCTGCTTCTAATGCCCTGTATGTTGTCACAAGGTGGAGGCTACTGCATGGGAAGGTCTATGGCAATGGCTACAGTGTCCCAAGATGGAGGTGGGTTAGGCCTGGGCTCCCACGTGGGTGGAAGTATAGAGGGGTGGAACTGGGCCTACCCTTGGTGTGAGCTCCCACAGGGGTATCAGTGGCACTCCTAGAACATTGATTCTTAATCTCTATCTTCCCTAAGGGATTTCCTTTCTCTTCCTTCCCAAATATCACCCATCACTTAGACTTGAGTAGTTGGTCTCTTAATTCTTTAGAATTCATCTATTCAGCTTTATTACTATACCATACATCCCTTAGACATGAGCACTTGATCTTTTTCAGTTCTTCAGAGTTCATCCACTCAGCTCTATGACTCAGCAGATAAATTCTGGTTTTGACTCCATATGACCATATTCAGGAAAGAACAAGCATTCTTACCTAAATGAGATAAAAAGTTCCTACCCCTTTCTATCTTTCTTAGTTTTTTATCTTTTCCTTTCTCTTTCAGCATAAGCTAAACTTTGATGAACTTTCTCTTATTGAACTTTGTTATTCTATACTCCAGGGAAGACTGTCTGGTAAGAATCTGGGTTGAATACAGGAGTCCATAACCTAATACTTTTAGACATCATCTCGTAATTGCAAATTCCACTTTCCTTAATTCTATCCAGCCAGTTCCTTAATTTTACCAGGAATGCCTTTTCTTTACCAATGTTCAAGGTTGCCCTCTGAGTTACTAGGAGACTATCAGCTTTTCTGACATCTATCTTCCTCTTATGTTCTTAAGCTTAGTTGCCTGTGCACTCCTGTGTTATTTGCTCAGTTACATTTTAAGTCAAAACAAAGACATGCTCTCTTTTATTTTTATTCAGAACCTGACACTTCCTGGAAGATAGCTGCACCTGAACTGTAGCTAATGAGAACTAATTAGAGAGTTGTTTTCAGAGAGAATTTCTTAGTTTGGACATCAGTTTAGTTCGTTTTATATAGGTTTAATCATTGGAGGGAAAAAAAGTAGAGATATTTTGAAGCAATTGTCCCACTTTTACAAAATACATTATTTTATAATTTTCTAGGTCAGTAAAGTTACTTTGAAGAACAATGTAGAATTAAAAATTAGGTACCAAGTATCCTGCTTTTCGTTTGCATTTAGGCAAATATTCCAATTGTTAGTTTTCATCCATTCGGACCGATATGTTAAATAACGTTTTTTTCATTCATACCAAACTTGAAGTAATGACATGATTAAAAAGTTATTGTACTTTAAATTGTAAAATTTGAAGCAAAAATAATGGGAAAGAAAATATTTATAGGTATTAGTATCAGGCATTGCTACTTTGAATATATATCTATTTAAAACTACAATTCTGAGAAAGATGATTAAAGTAAGACACAATCAAAAGTGAAAAGACAGTAAGACTTCTTTTTGAATTGAAAAAAAGTCCTATAGTCCAAGTAGGGAGTGCTGAGTTGGAAAAATTGGTAGTTTGACATTATGGAAGAAATAAAATTGTCATGAACAAGCGTGAGGAGGGATTATATTTGTCAAGAAGAAATTCCTTATGGATGAACTGTCTGAGGGATGTGGCATGTCACATCTTGTCTTAGAGAGTTAATGACTGGTAATGTTGGAACAATAGGTCTTTTGTCAGATCATTATAGCAGTCCTAGTTACAACTGCCTCAAGATATAATGACTAGTTCAGATAAGGGGCCAAAATACTTCAGGTGAAACATGACTCAATCCAACTACTTTTTCCTGATTAGGAGACTGAGCAAAGGAGGTTTTATTCAGAAGGCAGTGAGGGTAAGCCTTAGGGCAAGAACATAGCTACTTTTGGTCCCCAGAAAATGAGAGCTGAAGAATTTGCTTGGCCTCTGATTCTGTGCAAGTAGTTGATTACCTTTGCCCAGCCTTACTCAATTCTGAACAGTTAACTTTGGAATTTAATCTTATTATTCTTAAAGAATAAGAAGAAAAATTAGACTGGAAAACTGAATGAGGGAGATGAACAGTGTCACTGCTTCTGAGTTAAATAAAATCTTATATTGCTCCTTAGAAGAAAGAACAAGATCTTATATAGTTAAGGTAACTTAAGACTATTAAGAAAGCAATAAAAAAAAATTGTCCCTTTCCAAGAATGCAAGAGGTGAAATGTAAGAACCAGGCAATTCAAAGGAGCATTGTTTTCTCTAAACTATTTTAGATCTCATCCACCCATTTTCTTTTCTTTTTTTTTGGTAGGGTGGGGAGTAATTGGGATTGAACACAGGGCCTCACACATGCTAGGAAAGCACTCTGCCACTATGATACCCTTCTGCCGCAGTCCGGCTGCAGCAGAATAACTGGAGGGTGACGAATAACTTGTGTACGTTGATACAGCAGGAATGGGAGCCGTTTATTATAGGACAACAGAGCTATTTATACATTTTGCACAGCTTATCTTAATTAGCATAAACTAGATACATCAGTCAACCAATAAGGAATCTCCACACTTAATGGCTCACTTTTGTTACTTCTCAAACCAGTCCCTCTGGCATTTTGCCAGGCACCATCCAGACTTGTTTAGGAACTCTAACATTCCCCTGGCAAAATACCAGGTGTTATTTTGACTTGTTTACAGACTCTAACACCCTTCAGCCCTTTTCATTTTTATTTTGAGACAGGGTCTTGCTAAGGATGGCCTTGAATTTATGAGCCTCCTGCCTCAGCCTTCAGAGTAGCTGTAATTACAGGTGTGCCTCACCTCACCTGGCTCATTCACTGTTAGCATGGATAGGAAAAGAATGTTAAGATACTGCTTATTCATTTTCTTACCAACATTTTAAATACTTCACACATATACAAAACCATCTGTAAGCCTCTCTTTATGATTTCACCAATAGTGTGTTTCAGAGCTAGCAGTAATCCATTATAAAATAAAGATCTACGAATAACTTATTTCAGAAAGTCATATCTGCAAAAGAATAGATGTCATTTAAACACATAAAATACATCAGTATAGAGCATTAGTGAGGGACATCAACAAGGGGCATTATCATTGACTGGGTTATGACCCTTAAAATTTAGGTTCCACTTCTGGTATTAGAAAAGCACTTCCTATTAAGAAAACTGTTCCTCAGACAATAACAGCAAAATAGGAAAAAATATCCAAAACAACTACTTGAAGGCATGGGAATATGACTGAGAGTAATCAAATACAGAAGGGAGACAAATTCATTGATAAAAATAATTCCTCTTTTTTGTGGTATTGTTGTTTACTATTATTTGCCAGATGGTGCCATGCTAGATAATAGAAAATTGGACCAAAAACTGTAGAGTTTTTTGGCTTAAAGAACTAATATTCAATTAACCAAAAAATTGTAAGTAGACACAGAGGAATTACAAGAAGGTAATAGGGAAAAAGAAGGTAAATAATAAAGTGATAGTTAAATAGAACCAGACTAATAGTTACATTAAATATAAATTGATTAAATACTCCAGCTAAAAGGCAACTTTTCTTCTGAATGAATAAGAAATCAAGACTTAATTATGTGCTGTCAAAAGGGAATTCATTTTAAATATAAAACAGAATTAGCTGGGCGTGGTGGCCCACACCTGTAGTCCCAGTGGCTTTGGAGGTAGGAGGGTTCCAAGTTTGAGGCCAGCCTCAGCAATTTAGCAAGGCCCTGAACAATTTAATGAGACCCTGTCTTAAAATTTAAAAAATAAAAAGGCTGGGAATCTAGCTCAGTAGTAGAGCACCTCTGGGTTCAATCCCCATTATCTCCCCTCTCCAAAAAAAAACACCAAATAAACAAACAAACAAACAGAATTCATGGCATAAGGAGATTCTTATAAGATAATCAGGATATTGATTGTAAATATGTCAACAATTACATATTTTTTAAAAAGTAGTCAGTATGTCTAAATACTTACAGTGATTGTATTTGATAAAATTTAGAACTTTTTTTCTGGTGCTGGGGCTTGAACACAAGGCCTTGTGAATGTTAGGCAAGTATTCTCTCACTGGATTATACTCAAATTTGAGACTTCAAATATCCACTTTGGAATATCCATTTGGAATATCCATTCTTTTTATGCACATATAATATGCTCAATAAAATATATTATATGCTGAGTCATAAAACAAGTTCTTATAATTCTTAAGACTAAAGTTTTGCAAACTATGTTCTGTGGTCATAATAAAATTAAGTTATAAATTATAAATAAACATAAGTTATTTTTAGAAATTCATGTATTTGAATTAACCTTGCACTCTAACTCAGTGGGCCAAAAAAGAAATAATAACTAAGAAAGAGAGAGAGAGAGAAATAAAGATATCACAATGAAAGTTAGAAAATATTTTTTCTAAAATAAATACAATTTTATTTGCTAACTATACATGAAGAAAGCCAAAGAGAGGAAGAGAAAACAGGTAAAGGAACTACATCATATATCAGTAAATAAATCCTTAACAATCAGAAAGAAATTTGCAGAGAGGTTCATGTGTCTTCCATATGTTCACAAAAAGGGGTTTCCTATATAGTTTCTGGCACTTTCAAATTTTTAAGTAAATGCTTATTTTATGAATAGGCAAATAAATTAATAAACAAGTAAATATGTGGAAAATTTTTTCACAAGTGGAGTAGTTGACCACCTACCTAAAATTCTATGGAATCTCTTACACATAAAGAGGAACTTATTAGCTATCTCTATAACAATGGATGCCAATTTAACCATATGACCATGGAGAATGTTTGATTCATAAATAGATTTTCATCATCTCACAATTGAATTTAATGACAGAATGTGGCACTTGGGTTGTATGGTGTCTGAACAACCCACTTCCAATGTCTCTGACTCTCTGTATCTGACAGCCCCACATGCATCTATTTACAGATTCTGGATGGTGAAATCCTACTCCTCTTTGTTGTTGATCTCCACCAGATGAGTCTCCATTCTAGAGAAGTTCTCCTTTAGGTGAATTTCTCCTAAATCAATTCTCTTTATTTCAAGATTTTGAGTTAGTAGGAATAAAGTAGCAGTGGGAACAAAATGACTTCCAATTCTTCAGTCTTCCAATTCTTTCATGGCTGAATATTGTCTTGCACATTCCAATTCTGTGTGGACTAGTTCTTTTATATAATTTTTACACTTCTTCAAGAAGCTGAGAATACTTTTTAAATAGGATGATAAAAGTAACAGATAATGAGTTTGCCTTAAGGAAGACAAGTATCAGTGATGAGGCAAGAGGCAACTTGGGAAAACTGGGATTACTTTTGTGAGCTGCAGGAGAGTTTGAGTTGATGTCTTAGGACTCAGGCTCATTTTTGAACCTCACTTCCATCTGAGTACTTTCCAAAGCCATATTGAGAAGAGACCTTTTTCTTTCTTCAGAAAATCTGTATTAACCCTTCCTTAAAACATCTTTTGCATGATGGAGGTCAGCCTGGGCCACTTAGCAACAATTTCAGAGGTTTCAGTCCATAGATAGCCAGATCCATTGCTCTGGGTCCTAGGTGAGGAAAAACATCATGGCAGAAGACTATAGTGGAAGAAAGCACTCAAAACATGGTATCATGAAGTAGAGAGCTAGAAAATATTTCATACTGAACATAGAAAATATACTACATATCAAAATTTATGAGATACAGCTAAAGACTGTTTAGGAGAAAAGTTATAATTCTAAATGCATATATTAGAAAAAAATATAAAAATGGTAACCTAAGTTTCCAAGTTAAGAAGCTAGAAAAAGAAAAGTAAACCCAAAATAAGTGGAAAAGGAAATAATAAAAATAAGAGCAAGAATCAATGAAATCAAAAACAGAAATTGACAAAAATGGTTCTTTGAAAGGATTAACAATAACATTAAAATCCTTAGCAAATAAAAATGTGATGTTATTTTTCTTGATTCTGTAATGTTTGTGGAACTTTCATTTATAAAAAGATTGTAAACTAGTAAAATTTTTTAAAGTTATCTTTTTTAATGATTTCTTTTCATTCTAAATAAACATTTTCTTATTCAATTTTTAAATTTGAAGTTCCAAGTTGTTTTAAAAGAAGATCTCTCCAATTGTACAACCTTTAGGCTATACAAAATTAGATCTTCCCCTGTTCTGAAGTGTTTTCAGTTTTAAAGCTCTACATGTTCACATTTATGGAGTGCTACAGTATGACAATCATTGTGTAAGACAGAGAATATATTAATAGAGATGGGCAGAATTCTTACCCTTGCGGATTTTATGGTTTTTAGGGCTTCCTCAGATCCACCAACACAGAAACTCTAGGGGAAAGGAGAACATTAATAAGTGCTCTAGATAATTCTTATAACTAGGCAAGTATGGGAAATATAAGGAACTTGAATATTCAACTCTCCCTTTTTCCCTGATTTGTTCCTGAATCAATTCTGACCATACATTGTAAGTCTGCAAATTATTTGTTATCTTATAAAGTGATGTGAACCCTATGTCTTTATAGTGCTACAGGCTTTCCTATTTAGAGTCATCATTTTATTCAATAAATATGACAGTTTAGTTAATAAACATTTATTGGAAATCTACGAGCTGTTACTAAAATTATTATAAAATGAAATCTAATGTTAAAACAATTTATGTTCTTGGTTAAATAAAACAGATGATAATTGGTCTCTAAAGATGGTTTCTATGAGTTTTATTCTGGTTTGTGTGGGCATGTTGGTCATACTATCAAGAGGTATATCCTAAATTCCCCTCTTATTAAATCTGGCCTAGAAGACAAAATAATTTGATCTATAGGATTTAGCATAAATGATATCCTGGGACTTCCTCAGCTGCATTGTAGAAGTTTTGCAGTTTCTATGTCTTATCTTGGAATGCTAGACAGACTAAAAAATTCTACTACATTTACTCCACCATGATGTTAAAAATTCCAAGCTAGCCATATGGAGAAACCACAGGGGGAGAGACATTCCTGGCAAGTACCTAGCTGTTTACTATAGGCACCAGTGAAGAATTCTTGGTAGACCAGTGCCAGCTAACATCTGATTACAACCATATGAGAGATGACAAGGGAAATCAACTGGGAGAAAAGAGGGGGAGGAGGAGGAGTCAGGAAAAACTCTCTGAAGGACATGTTTGAGCTAAGTCTTAAAGCATGAGGAAGGAGTAAGTCAAATAGGGAATGTGAAGAACAAAGTGCATTCCAGGAAGAAATGCACCAAAAGCAAGGGCCAGACGTGTGAAACACAAGGTGATACAGATAAATTGATATACTGGTACATGTAATTCAGAATTTACTAAAACATAAAGTTCAGAGTGTCATGAAACAAGATTGGTGAAGTAGTTAGGTGTTGGCCCTTGGATGGTTTTGAATGCCATGTCAAGGATACTAGTTTTGAATACTAGTTTTTGATCCCTATTTCATACTTCTCAAATAGTAGAGGACATGAAACATTAAAAGCTATAGGTTGAACATGATGTATCTTTTTGAAGAGACTATTATCCTCAATGGCGAGTAATTCAATGCAGTATTATTTTTTATATTTAAATAAACAAATATGTGAGTGTGTAGAATGCCATGTTCACTGAATTTTTTATTTACTTATTTAATGTGATACTGGGTATTGAACCCAAGGTCTTGTACCTAATAGGCAAGTGTTCTACCACTGAGTACCATTTCCAGTCCTAAAAGTAGGTTCAAGGTATTTCAAAGCAAAAGGCTACTCTCCTTTTGGTTAGTTCCTCAAAGGTATGACCTTGCCCTCTTTTACAATCATTTCTTTGGGGAAGTCTGACAAAGTGATGAGGAACTACTAAAGGGACAACAACAGATTATCTATTCCCAATTAATTTCAATTGAATTATGTAACCTTTGCCAGCCCCTCACTCAGAGATCAAACCTTGTCTCTTAGATCACTAATTCCTTGGTGTGTGGTAAATTTCCCAGAACCATAAGTTTGTTCCCTTTCTGACCATGAAATGACTACAATGGAGATTTCTATTGCTGCCATTCATCTATTTGATTGAAGTCTTTGAGGCATGACATCAACCTGAATTTGCTAAGTGCTGTGATTTAAATTATGCCATCCTCTGGGGCTAGTTCTTATGGCTAATATTATTTCCCAGACTTAGTCTGCCATTTTCAAACTTTCTCCCTGACAACTGTTGAGTTTCCTTTATGTCTCAAAACAAGCCTTCACAGTACATTTGGTTACAAACAATCTGTATTAATTTAAAGAAACATTTTATAGGAGCATTTAAGTAAACTAAACTATTTCTCCAAGTCTCATTTTGAAAATTTTAATATGAAGCCAAAGTAGAGAATTTCTGAGCCTTAAGTTTAACACATTAAAAATTGCCCTGATCAATGATTTAAATATACTGACAAGGTTAGATCAAGATGAAGTTAACTTATAAAACTGCTTATCTTCTCAGGGGAAAAAAATCCTTAATGAAAAAAAAACAAAACAAATCTTATGACTTAAGAACAAGCATAGGTTCTATGAGCTGAGGTCATGGCTTAGTGGTAGAGAGCTTGCCTAGCATGTGTGAGGCACTGGGTTCGATTCTCAGCACCACATCTAATTAATTAACTTAAAAAAAAATCAAGGATAGGTTCTATTCACAGACCAGAAATTTTAAGGAATTCATGAAAGCACAAAAGAGAAAAGGCAGAAAGGATAACATTAGTACTCAAAAGAGAACTCCAGCAAAAATTGAAAGTGGCTTTGGAGTTTTATGTCCATTTGTTGACTCATTCACATATGTGTTGATTCAGATAATATGTAGAAAGTACCTATTAGGTGTCAGGTACTATTTTAAGCACAGAATAAAACAGTGAACAAATAGTCCATACTTTCATTCAGCTTTCAATATGGCAAGGAAAATAGATAAGACACAAGCAAATAACAAGTAAGTGATATATGTCTAATAATGACAAGTACCAGGAAGAATAAAATAGAGTAAGGAATTATAGCATAAAGTGGGGTCCAAGGATATATTTTCCATGGGATTATTAGAGAAAGCCTCTCTGAGTAGATAATATTTAAATGGAGACCTGAAGGAAGTATGTGACCATGCCAAGCACTCATCTTGGGAAAGAGCATTTTAGGCGGAATGAACAGTAAGTATAAAGACAGACAGGAGTGTGGTTGGTGATTGAGAATACTGAGGAAGTTTTAGGTGACAAAGTAAATCAAGCACTGAGATAAAATGGTAGTTGAATGCCAAGGCCAATGTCTCGGCTTGGCACCAGAATCACGAGGCACTCACAGCTTTGTAGGTTCAAACAGCAATTCTTTATTCCAGCTCTCACACC